TGAGTACAAAAAATGATTTGTTAAAGCACGCTCGCACACAGTATCATGGCAAAGAAATGGTAAATTTTGTTGCACCTGTGGTAACATCCTTATCGAAAAAAGAACAGTGTCAACAGTCTGAGCTCAGCTTAAGCATTTTTTTCGCTCAGCATAACATTAGTATTGACATTATAAATGACTTTCTTCCTTTAATTAAAAAAATGTCCGAGAATCCTGAAGCCACGCAGTCCATGTCAATTGGTAGTACGAAATGCTCGGGACTTATAGTTAATGTTTTAGCTCGTAACATTGAATTAAACGTGGTAAAAATCTTGAAAAAAGTACCTTTTTCTTTACTGATAGACGAAAGGACAGATCGCAGCAATAAAAAAATTTTGTGTGTTGCAGTTCAATATTATGATTTTGAATTTAATAAAATCGTGGGTCATCATTTAACTTTCATTGAGTTAGACGCAACTTTGGTTTCAGCAGAAAAAATTTTTGAGTCTTTTTATGATAAATTTGAAACGTTTGGAATCCCATGGAATAATGACGTTGGGTTAGCATGTGACAATGCAAATGTCATGATCGGTGGTTTTAATTCATTCGCTAGTCATTTGAGAGAACTGTCACCGACTTTTATCCTTATAAATTGTATTTGTCATTTATTCACCCTCGTCGCGAAGCACAGTTATGCGTGTCTTTGTACAGATGTAGACTTTTTTTTACGAAGGATAGCAAGTTACTTATCGAAAAGTCCAAAACGATCTACAGTTTTCAAAGAATTTTAGACAGACGCCAAGGTAAAGACAAATCAAATGTTATAAATATGTGGAAGTAGATGGCTTGAAGTGTTTGAATGTATTGAACGCGTTCTGGAAAATTGGGTTCCATTGCGGCAATTTTTAATCGTAGAAGTTTTTAATTTATCTGAAGAGGCGAAGACTGTAGAGAAGTTGCTTTTGTTGTTGAAGTCTGACACATATCAATACATTATTTTATTTTTGTTGTACGTCTTGCAAGACTTCAATAATTTTAGTAAAAAGTTTCAAACATCGAAAGTAGTTTTGCACGTTCTTTCGAATACTTGCAACATGATACTTAAAAAATGCGCGTTAAATTTTTAAAATCCCAAACTTTTTCAAAACCTTCGTTATGTTGATCCTTATGATGCATCAAATTTATTGCCCCTTATACAGTTTATTGCGAACCAGAGTGTGAGGCCAAACTAAGGGAAGTGGATTCCAAAAGTATTAATTTTGTGAAAAATACTTGTTTGCAGTATTATCAAAAACTGTTTGAAAAAACGAAAAAGCTCTTTTTTATAAACGATGATTTTTTGAGTGAATTAAATTTTTTAAAGCCGGAAAACGCTTTAGATCCATCAGTTAGAGCAACGATTCCTGATTTGTATGATTTTTGCAACAAGTATTTTTCAAATATTAATAAATTAGTTGCTAGTGTCAAATGGAGAAATTTACCGTTGTACTTTTCTAAAGAAGAAGTTGTAGAATTAAGATCTCTTGAAATTAATCAATTTTGGGGTAAAATCTTTGGCAAAAAACAAGATGTGGGTAAAATTTTACAGTTCCCTGAGCTCACAAAACTAGTTTTGCGTATTTTAACTTTGCCGCATTCAAACGCGTTGCCAGAGAGAATTTTTTCAATTGTTAATGACATCAAATCTGTAAAGAAAACGGCAATGGGAACACCGCTTATGAACACGCGTATTGTTTATTCAGAAACTACTGCACTGTCAAAGGTATAAACTCTCTAAATTTTGAAGTGTCTCAGCAACACTGTCAATTATTTAATGCAGAAAATGTTTATGAAAGCAAAAAGTTGAAAAATTCATAAGTTGTTTCTTCATTTAATACAACAACAAAAAATTTAATAATACCAATAATATGACTTTTTTGTTTTTTTAGCGGGAAGCGGCAGTACCATGTTTGTGACCTTTTTTTAAACTACTTTTTCGTTAACTAACTTCAATTCCAGTTTTAAAACGTTTACGAGAAGAATAATGGTTTTTGTTCTATTGTTGCTACCTTGACGTCAAATTAACTCTGCAACTTATGTTAAATGATTTTCCTTATTTTGTTGCCTAGACCTTGTTTTCTTTATTTTTATTTATTAATTTTTTTTTTAATTTCGAGTATGTTTATTACAGCACGCTCTCTCTGTAGTTTCTCCGGGCTTGAGACCGGCACATTTACTGTGGCCACATTACGCGCGCGGTAATTTATTTACATTCACGTTCGAAATTAAAAAAAGCCCGGAGAAACTACAGAAAGAGCGTGCTGTAATAAACATACTCTGAGCGAAAGAAAAGTTGTTTATTTATTTAACAACAACTAAAAATTCATACATTTCATTACTTATACTATCTGAAATCAGCATGAATTTTTTTACTTTTTTTTGTCGAGTGTTTTTAGGGTACATATAGAAAAATATTGAGAAATTGCAGCANAACAACAACTAAAAATTTATAGATTTTATTAATTATACTATCTAAAATCAGCATAAATTTTTTTACTATTTATTGTCGAGTATTTTTAGGGTACATACAGAAAGATATTGAGAAATTGTAGCATGAGCTTTTATGGCAATCCATATTTTTTGACGAGACGTATTTCCAAGAATAAATACTTGTAGCGAAGTCAGTTACTAATGATACACCAATCAAAAAAAACTTCGTGCAATTCGGGACATATTAATGTATTAAACAGTGTTGCTTACCAACCATAATAGTGTAATAGTGTATTACATTAACAGTAATCAAGACGTGTCGTTTGATAATTTTTAAATACTAAATAATACTTTAATTATCATTACTCGACACTTAACTCACTAAATATTAATGTTTTGATTTCCTTAATAAGTGACGAATATTTTGTTTTATAATTTAACTTACCTTGTCTTATAGATAGTATTTTTAAAAATTATGTCTTACTGTTAAAACGTTATACATGAGCTTACATAATTACATACACGTGTCATGACACTTTACGTATAACGTACATGAAAAAAAAAAAAAAAANTAGTATTTTTTAAAAATTATGTCTTAGTATTGAAACGTTATACATGAGCTTACATAATTACATAAACGTGTCATGACACTTTATGTATAACGTACATAAAAAAAAAAAAAAAAAAAAAATTATCAGAGAGATTCGAAAGCTGGCAAGTTTGGCTGGAGCAAAAGACTTAGCCCGCGCGGCTATCGTCGATTGTACTCGTACTTGACAAGATGTCATATTTATGTTGTGAGAAGTGGGTGGGGCTTAGGTTAAAGGTCTGGGTAGGGGGGTTCTCCCGCTCCAGCTTGCTGTATGGGGAGAGGGTGATTGCGCACTGCGCATGCGGCGAACTCCCGAAAATCTGGGAGCCTTGCTTCCACGCGTCTCCAAAATATGCGCTTATGTGAACTTAATCGACTCCTCTCCTCGTGGGCGTCTACCCTTACCATGCTTCTCAAAAAAAAAAAAATAAAATAAATATGCACCTGGTTTGGCGCTTGGCTAAGATGGAGCACTCGAACCAGTGGAAAAAAGTGGGCACAGTCCGTAGCATTGCAGTCAGCAATCTCCCTACTAATCTCTGTTTTTTACCGAAAACGACACTTAGGTTGTGTTGCACAGGAATCGTAGTCTTGACAAAATAATTACAAATGCGATCTATGCGAAAAGCTCATCAGTCTTAGTCATAGAGATAATATAATAGAGGAAGCGAACTGTATATTCTTCTGTAAGTGGAAGCGTACGGTTAGTAGACAGAGGAAGACGACTGTTTTGGTCTTGCATCTCTCTCTGCTCTCTGCATTGATTGGCTGCTGCTTGACAGTGTATATAATAGTAGTCATAGTAGAGCAGTAGGTATATATATTGAATTAGAGGCAGAAGAGGGCATTTAAAATAGCCAATCAGGATAAGAGCAGAGAGAGATGCAAGACCAACACAATCTTCTTTCTCTGTCTACCATCTGTTTGCGGTCACGGCTTGTTCGCTTCCTCTATTATATTATCTCTATGGTCTTAGCTTAATTTAATTTCTCGGAACCAAAAAGTTCGCATATCTTTTCCTCGTACGCGAAAATTCATCAAGTGCTTGCATGAAAGTATAAGCCGATTGTATGTTAAGGACTGGGGGTTTGTGTATGTTAAAACGTTGTTCGCGTGTTAGCTTCCTAGACAGACTTTCAAAATTATTTGAGTGTTAAAAAATGGTTTCATCATAGTTTCATGTTTCTCGAATTAAGTCACGCGAATGTAATTAACCTACTCTATCATTCACAAAAATTAAATCTAAGTTTCTGTATCATTTACCTTAACTATGTTGGGAAATCACATTTCGCATTTTTTGCATACTCACACGAGCATGTAATAAACAAGATTATATTGATAGGAGACTCATATAAGACCAGTTTTCTAAAAATTTAACATTTAATTTATACGAGATGAGGTATGAGGTAAAATGTAGATGCTAAAACAATTTTCTTAAAAGCAAGTTAAACAACATAAAAATGATAATTCTGACTTATTAGGCAGATTCCATTTGTTGAAAAAGAAAAAGAGTGCACAATTAAGAAATAAGATTCAAGGTAAATGATACAAGGGTATATGATGGGAAAAAATTGGTGGAGCAATGAGAATGAAAAATACAAATTTTAATAAATAAGAACTTCTATGAATTATTGCATCCATGAATAGTGCAATTATCGTGGGTTGCAAATGTAGATGAGCACACATAACCATACCCACGCGATTTCGTAACTATTAAATTACTAGGATGCAAGAAAAGTACATTGTGCTCAGCTTAGTTAGAAAATTTGCGACTCTACTAGGCCATATTGTCGACTTGATAATGACTTATTTCACCTACATTGAAAAAAAAGTGTATAACAGCTTTGATACAGCCATTGATAAGTGAACTTGTCTACATAGGTAAATAATAGATGAAAATGGACTAGAGACGCTAAGCGTTAATGTGAGTTATTTATAATTAAACAGAATCATACAAAACCTCACGTCCACGTGTAGCATTTAAATTAGTGAAAAAATTTTACGTTTTGCTTGAGTTGCAGCACAATTACTTATGTTAAGAACTTTTTTTTCAATCATTCAGTACTAAGTACTAACTACTTCATTTAACATCTAGACGAGAAGATTAACACTGTTCCCTTGTTTAATATTTACTTGCCCGCAATAAGGCCTCTTACACGATACGAAAGTACCCATTCACATGTAGGAAGTATAGACTGCTTGTTTTTATTACCGGAGCCGTACCAAAACAACTTTTTTTTGCTTTGCACTCTTTGCAGGCCTATGTTATAACATAGGCCCGATCTCGAGGGACAGTGCGGCGGACATAGACATAAAAAGTACAGACTAGTAGTTATTATGTACGGCACTGAAGCACTAATAGAAGGGCATACAACATTGACCGTGGATATCTGTCTCTCTTGCACACTGCCAAAGGTGAGAGTGTGTAAGAGAGATAAATACCCCCGTTCGATGTGGAGTCTCCTTCTACTTGTGCTGTAGTGCCGAACATGAGAATGAGCAGTCTTTATTTCTTATATGTCTATGGCGGCAGAGACTTGTGAAGTTGGCGCCCGTAAATATTAAATATTAATATTTTGCACCCATTCAGAGCTTAAACGATTCCTCCTTACTTGCGGATTTATCCTCCACTTGAATTTTTATTTGCGGATCAATAGTTTGCGAGATATTTGCAAAATAAAAAGTCGGAAATGGGCGCGGCGCTGAAGTATAAAAAACTTTGTTTTAAGTGCTAAATCAGGTTAAAATCCAATTTTACCTGTACGATTCGATTCCTCCTTATTTGCGAATTATGGAAATATATAAATTAATGTAATTGAATGTCACAAAGTTTGTAAAAAACAAATTTAATTATTGAGTGAGAGAATCTAGTAACTTTTGTCTAGTGAGTTTTGGTCCAGTGCTCCGTTCCTGTTATTCGGTACATGTTTACTCCGAACAGCGGGTTCTACAAAATATTTATCAGAATAGAAAACTTTAGTAGGTATTAATCTATTAATTATTAGTTATAAGTTATTCAGCCTTTGGGTCAATACACACACACACACACTCACATTACATACTTCAAACTCAAGGAAAAATTTATTTGTCAATAGGTACAGATTTTTCATCTTAAGAATCTAATATCTGAAATCTATTGTGGCAAACACTGTGGACTGATATTTATTCATTACACGCGAAATTTTAATATTTGTTGTTATTCAAGAAACAAATAACAACACAACTAAAAAGTAGCAGTACAGCTATAATCATCCCAAGACAAGCCACAGCTAAGCACACAAGTAATAATTTTGTTTGGACAAGTTTTAGAAAACAGCTCAAGCATTCAAATTTCGCGCGTAAATGATCAATCAGGCGAATTGAAGATCAAGTTACCGACCAGTGGAAACGGATAAAAGTGACACAGGCTGTGTTCGCCTAAGGCTCTGTTTGTTATTAAGTCTATTAAGGTCACGTGATCATTTATCATAAGTGCGAGGGAGACAGCATGATGTCACCGTCTCACTCGCACTTATCATAAATGATCACGTGACCTTAACAGACTACAAACGTAGCCTATGCAAACACAGCTCCAGTAATAAATTTACAAGTACTAATTTTAAAAAAATGTTTATTAAATGGGTTTACACTATATTGCATAGTCATCAAAAAATGAGTGTGGGTGTGTGTGTGTGTGTGTGTGTGTGTGTGTGTGTGTGTATTGACCCAAAGGCTGAATAACTTATAACTAATAATTAATAGATTAATACCTACTTTAGTTTTCTATTCTGATAAATATTTTGTAGAACCCGCTGTACGGAGGAAACGACATGTACCGAACAACAGGAGCGGAGCACTGGACCAGAAGTCACTAGACAAAAGTTACTAGATTCTCTCACTCAATAATTAAATTCATTATTTACAAACTTTGTGACATTCAATTACATTAATTTATATATCTTTGAAATCCACAAATGCCTATCACCCGATGTCCCGGGGCGCTAACTGGTCGCTTTATTAAATAATAAAGTATTAATTATTAACACAAGCGCCTATCACCCGATGTCCTAAGCGCCTATCACCCGATGACCTGAAGTGCTCACTAATCGCTTTATTGAACGATATATATTATTGAATAGCAGCCCCCCGCGGAGCCCGTCTCGGCTTCGCCCGAGATTTACTAAATAAAACACCGTAGCGTGTTGATATGTAATGTGAAACATTTTCAGTTAGAAATTTTACACATATTCCTGATACATCTCAGAACAAAAATCTTCTTATTAAAAACATATTTTTTCGGAATCCATATAGTTTATTTGGTCAAATAATGTGTAAAAATTCAAAAAAATAATTATGCTGAAAAGTACCGTGCGTTCTTTATGCCATAAAATAATCGGTGGCCATAAGAAGCCGATGATTTACAGTTTCTCCCGTGTAATTCAAGAAAACGGCTAATTTTCGAAGCTGTTAAGATTTCAAACCCCAAAAAATGTATATTAGAAAAAAATTTTTTTCTCATATCTCACAACTTTATTACCAGAGCAACAAAGTCCTGGACCTTAAACCCTACCTTTTTTACTGCCACAAAAACACAAATACATTTTTTACTCATTAAAAAATCTGAAGTAGGATCTTAAAGGAGGCTTGGGCGATCTTAAGTTGTCGATTTTGACGCTGCTGTTTCAATCTCGATAAACTTTCTGTTTTCTGTGAACTTTCTTGAGTTCTAATATATTTGTTGGCAAGGAAGTTCGACGTCCGATGGCCCTAAAAAAGACCGGTGAGCTTCTTAAGTTAACTCTTTCTTGACTGCAGTTAACAGCAATTGTGACTGCCTGGATACCTCAGGGTGATCTTCTCTGACTTGCTGTTGAAGACTCAGACTGATCGGGAGAAAAATTACAAAGTCTGAAGCTTTGGGGCTAGTTGTAGTGCTATTTCCCAACGTCTCCCGGTATAACGTCGAAGACGTTGGTGTCTAAAGCACCTTTTTTATTTGCAGATTCAGTTGTTTTGGTGATCTTAGATGGGGAGATTGGTTAGTGATCCTCGTCCAGTGATGGCTGTCCCATTGGCTTAAGTTTTTTTTCCTTCATAGCTGTTATAGGTTTTCCCAGCGCAGACCTTGGAGAGGATCAGTGATTCCTGGTTGAATGCTTAGAGTCGAGAGGGAAGTATAGGGTCTTCGCCGTCTTTGGTCACCGTGTTTTCCAGCCTTGCGAAGAACAACTCCGCAGGTAACGTCTGCCAGTGAATGGCTGACTTGGTTTAATAGTGCCCGTCTTTAGTTAATATAGTCTTTTAGTCGACGAATCGCTTCCGGAAAAGGTAGTAAAAATGTATTTGTTGGCAAGGTGGTTTACACTTAGGTGGCCTCTAAAAAGAACCGATGAGATTGATGGTTAAGTAGGAAACGTAAATACTTATAATGGACCTAAAAAGCGCCAGTGGTGAAACTTCTAGGCTATTCTTTATTATTATTCCTGATAATGAAGAGCTAGCTACGGGTCGCTTGATTCTTACCCTGGGAGTCTCTATGTACGGAGACTGTTTCATGGGAGGTAGGTACGCCGCTGACCAAAGAATATCTCGTCTTCGGGTCGTTCCCCAGATAACCAACCGCTCATCGTTGGGAACGCGACGACCAAGAAGGCAGCCGTTGTGGCTGCCCGTGCCCCTCAGAGCTGTTTTTCATGGCTTACATTGGTAGCCAAAAATTCTCTAACTGCACCAAATTTTAATTTTTTTTTTTGATCGCACTCGTCGAGATTCAGGGTGAATGGCAACCTAGGTCCCTTCCCCCTTACAGAAGAGTTTCGTCCGTAACCGGGATACCCAGCTGCAAGACTATCATCTTCATTCTCTATGCAGCTCGTTGAACTGTCGAAACAAGATTACATCACTATCGAGACGTATCAGCGTATTACAACCACACTTATTTAAGGAGGCTTGGGCGTTTGGTGTCGTATCTATTGAGGGGCCCCTATAAGGTACTAGTCATTCAAATGATTCTTTGTAAGATTTTTTTTATAATTATTTTGATTATACACATGTGTGAACAAAATAGCAATAATACGCGGAAAAGTCATTGGGAAAATCGATATTAAAAAATTTATTAGTTTTCCCGAGGTACCTAGTGTAAAGATGACGGCCCTGCCACGATAAAGCTGACAACACTGTACTCTCTTGCTCTCATCTGCTATTATATACCTATTGGGATTATGCCTCTACCATGTGACCTCAGTATATATATGACTAATATAGAGGAGAAATAACACAGGTCTTATGGGAGGAATCTTGTTTTTATTTTTTTTTCGCACTTAAAAAAATATTGAACTTTAAAAGGTTGTTAATTCAATGTTACTGACATAATGAGAGTTACGTAGTTATTTTTTCCCTTTGATGAATTCGTTCATGAAGGTTGAAAAAGCGTTTAGAACGTATACATAGTGCCGTTTAACCCTACTTTGAGCTGTTAGTGTCAGCTGTTGCTGCTGCTGCGCTACTGCTGCTGATGCTCAGAGATAAACAAACAGCTCAAAGTAGGGTTAAACGGCACTCCGTATCCGTTCTAAACGCTTTTTCAACCTTCATAAACGAATTCACCAAAGGAAAAAAATAATTACGTAATTCTTACAATGTCAGTAACATGGAATTAATAACCTTTTCAAGCTCAATATCTTTTTAAGTGCGAAAAAAAAATAAAAACAAAATTCCTCCTACAAGACCTGTGTTATTTCTCCTCTGTATTAGTCATATATATACTGAGGTCACGTGGTAGAGGCATAATCCCAATACTTGTGTTAGACTTAAATTTTCATGCCTGTATGTTTATGAATGTACAGCGCATGCGCACTTACAGTACCTGAACAAAACAATTCTTATGTTCGACGTTTTCCTCGCTATTTTCTCAAAATTTAACGTGTTGATCCTATTCTTTTTTTTAAATAATAGATTCTTTTTACTTTTAAGTACATGTACCAATTTAATGTGTGGGTCCACAGCTTTTTATTGCGGTACGGTAGTCTATTAAATTTCGGGTTCCGTAAGGTTACGTGTTAAAATGACGAATTTTCACAAGCGATTTTTTCGAAAATAAATGTGTTAACCTACCTATTTTGTTTTCCTACAAAAATCTAGCAAACTTTATCTATATAATCTCTGAATTTCAGACCTAGCCAGCATTTAATTTAAAATCGCCCAAGTCTCCTTAATTCTGTTGCAGGTAGCCTCGATTTTATGTTGACGCCACCTA